CACAGTGTGTGAAAAACACAAGCCAGGAGACACTGACCACACACAGTGTGTGAAAAACACAAGCCAGGAGACACTGACCACACACAGTGTGTGAAAAACACAAGCCAGGAGACACTGACCACACACAGTTTGAGAGAAACACAAGCCAGGAGACACTGACCACACACAGGTGACCTTTATACACGTCCACACTGACCACACACAGGTTACCTTTATACACCTCCACACTGACCACACACAGTTTGAGAGAAACACAAGCCAGGAGACACTGACCACACACAGGTGACCTTTATACACGTCCACACTGACCACACACAGCTTACCTTTATACACGTCCACGACTGTCGGTGGAAGAACACGGCCGGACCAGAGGAGCGGTTGTCCAACACGCTGGGGAAGGGAAGCAAGCGCTGGTCAGAGCAGCACAAAGCACGGAACCTCAACCAATTACACTCCAACTCGCCCCGGATCGCTAAAAAATATCCCTAAGCACTCGCCCCCGGATCACCCTTAAATTCTCCAACACGCTCCGCCCCTACACGCTCTGGATCACCCGTAAATTCCCCAACACGCTCCGCCCCAACACGCTCTGGATCACCCGTAAATTTCCCTACACCCACCACCCTAACATGCCTGCAATCAAGGAAGATTTTTCTAGCATCTCCTGCCCCAAACAAGAATCTAGATCCCGAATTGGAATTGAAAACGAACAGTCTAGGAATTGATTCGTTTACATCAGTCTTTTAGTTTTTAGTTTTAGTAGACATTTTACGGCACTCGCAACACAATAAGGTCATATAAGTGCCGAAGATTAAAGGTGTTACAAGAGAGTAACAAACACCAAAAATAAGGAGGGGAGATAAGGACGATAGATGTTTGATAGAAAGAAGAAGCAGCAGCAAACCACACAAGAGCACCCGCCAACCACCCACCATCAGTCTTTAAGGCAGCAATCAACTCTGAAATGGCTGTAAATGTGAAGGTTTGCAACATGTTCAACGCCTTTTATCCGGATAGTAGAGATTCCAGAGGAGGATAGTAGAGATTCCAGAGGAAGGATAGTAGAGATTCCAGAGGAAGGATAGTAGAGATTCCAGAGGAAACAGACTGGCTTTCAATACAAAAAGTGGGAGGTATATCCAGCCCTCTGTTTCCCTGGCTGCCAGGTCCCACCGCAGCTCATTTCCAAGCCAGCCTTTTCTTCTTGACCACTGACCTGAGAGGGTACATGGGCATGAAAACGTCATCGTCCAGGGTTTTGCTGAGCCGCGCCACCACCGCCTCAAGGTAGACCTGGAGACAAAGTCAAACCATCCACCTCAGCAAAGTCCTGGTGCACCCAAATGCTTACACATCTTAATCATAAAATAAAATAAATTACATTTTATTTGTCCTGAAAGGGAACTTTGGTTTACAATGGCAAACATACATTTACATACATAAATACATTGTTTACATTGTAAATGCATGTGTATTTATTTACAATTCCTCAAAGTAAAAGAATAACTGTTAAAAAAACCCAAAAACAACTGTGGTCGAAATTGTCCTACAAGCCACCCAAGAGCACGTCTTGAGAAATGTTGAAACTTAGCAGCAACCTCCAGAAGTGTACACACATACACACTCACAAACACATGTATGTGTATATATGTACGTATGTATATTATCATCAAATAATATACATCACCTGTGGGACCACACTTGCACTGCTAAAATATAAAAAGACGAGCAGGTGTCTGAAGTGAGTTGAAGTAAAGACACAAGACCAGAGAGTGGAGGCAATCATTCACTTGTAGCACTCGTCCAATTGAAGTAAAGACACAAGACCAGAGAGTGGAGGCAATCATTCACTTGTAGCACTCGTCCAATCATTCGTCCAACGCCTCCAGGATTAGCACTTTCCCGACCTCAGAATTACATAGTTCTATCTGACATTTTGGGCCGTTGTGAGTTATCGCGATCATGAGGTCAGACACCAAATGTTCTGTCTGCTCTATCAAAATCGTCAGATTATTCTGAATCATTATCAAGATATTCAAAGCAGTGCATTCACAAAAGCTTGACATGATGAGAAACTCAAAATCTTTCATGTCAAATTTCTGTCAACTAGGTACAGAGCAGATACAACGTTGTGACTCTAAGGCAGCGACTTGTGGAGCACGTCTGGAACTAGCTACTGGATGTGTCTGAAGAGCACACGGGACAAACTAGAAACTGTGAGAGTGTACATTTGAAAGGCTTGTGGACTCATAACTTCCTATTTGTTTGACTGCCGGTCGATTGTTATGTTTTGTTGAATGGAACATCAAACAACAATAATCAAGCAACAGTTGAGCAAAGATACAGTTTGGAGTCAACAAGCGTTCCAAATTGATACCCTCACAATTTGTTCAGTTTGTGTCTGTGCTCCTGGGAATGTCTGTCTGTGCTCCTGGGAATGTCTGTCTGTGCTCCTGGGAATGTCTGTCTATTCTGGAAGCCTAACCCACACCCAGAAGGAGTTTTCGTAAGATTTACACCCCTTGCAAAGCATGCAGGTCATACAAGTGTAGAAGATTAGAAGTGTTACAAGAGAACAATTCACAAAGAAAACAAAGAGGAGAGATGAGGACCATAGATGTTGGAAGGAAGCAAAGAGGGAACAAACCACAGCAGAGCACCGGCCAACCACCCAGTTGTATCTCATGTCATCCCAGGACTCAATGACTACAACTAAGTTAGGACAGACAAATTGTGAGACAGACAGACAGATAGACAAGTTGTGAGACAGACAGACAGACAAGTTGTGAGACAGACAAGCTGTGAGACAGGCTGAGAGACAGACAGACAGACAAGTTGTGAGACAGACAGACAAGCTGTGAGACAGACAGACAAACTGTGAGACAGACAGACAAACAAGCTATGAGACAGACAAGCTGAGAAGCAGACAAGCTGAGAGACAGACAGACAAGCTGAGAGACAGACAGACAAGCTGAGAGACAGAAAGACAAGCTGAGAGACAGACAGACAAGCTGAGAGACAGACGAGCTGAGAGACAGACAGACGAGCTGAGAGACAGACGAGCTGAGAGACAGACAGGCGAGCTGAGAGACAGACAGACAAGCTGAGAGACAGACGAGCTGAGAGACAGACAGACGAGCTGAGAGACAGACAGACGAGCTGAGAGACAGACGAGCTGAGAGACAGACAGACGAGCTGAGAGACAGAAAGACAAGCTGAGAGACAGACAGACAAGCAGAGAGACAGACAGACAAGTTGTGAGACAGACAGACAGACAGTTAAGCTGAGAGACAGACAGACAAGCTGAGAGACAGACAGACAAGCTGTGAGACAGACGAGCTGAGAGACAGACAGACAAGCTGAAAGACAGACAGACAAGCTGAGAGACAGACAGATGAGCTGTGAGACAGACAGACAAGCTGTGAGACAGGCAGACAGACTGTGAGACAGACAGACAGACTGTGACAGACGAGCTGTGTCTTCAACATTTGACTTACCCGAAAATTTTTGTTCTTTGCATGAATAGTGGGATACTGGTTGGTCAGCTTGAGGGTCAGACTGACCAGTCGGGTCGACTGTGCTGTTGATATTGGATCCCACACATTTTGTACAAGAACTGAAACAGAAAAATGTAGGCATCTTCCGTTAAGCTCAAATAAACAGAAGCACACGCACATAATTAACTGGTCATTCAGTGCTGGTGAAAAAGTGAGATGGATAGGTGGCTCACTTGTAGCTCAGGCAGCTCGTCTCATTCACAGACCTAAGTGTGTATTGGCCCAACACCTCCCACAGACCTAAGTGTGTATTGATCCAACACCTCCCACAGACCTAAGTGTGTATTGATCCAACACCTCCCACAGACCTAAGTGTGTATTGATACAACACCTCCCACAGACGTAAGTGTGTATTGATCCAACACCTCCCACAGACCTAAGTGTGTATTGATACAACACCTCCCACAGACCTAAGTGTGTATTGATCCAACACCTCCCACAGACCTAAGTGTGTATTGGCCCAACACCTCCCACAGACCTAAGTGTGTATTGATCCAACACCTCCCACACACCTCCAAATTTCATTCACAGACCTCAGTGTGTACGGGTCTCACACCTCTAAATCTCATTCACAGACCTGATGTGATGTGGTCAGATAGAAGTAGGAACTGACCTGATGTGGTCAGATATAAGTAGGAACTGACCTGATGTGGTGTGGTCAGATATAAGTAGGAACTGACCTGATGTGGTCAGATATAAGTAGGAACTGACCTGATGTGATGTGGTCAGATATAAGTAGGAACTGACCTGATGTGGTCAGATAGAAGTAGGAAATGACCTGATGTGGTCAGATAGAAGTAGGAACTGACCTGATGTGGTCAGATATAAGTAGGAACTGACCTGATGTGATGTGGTCAGATATGAACTTGTCTGATATGGCCTACTAGCCAGCTATCAAGGCCAACCCACTACTCGATATCTTTCATAAAACATTTTAAAAAGCCATACAGCTGCGTGACTGATGAAGACTGAAGCACCCTTTCAACTACAAGAGGACTGCACTGCTGGTGAAAGCTGAACAGATCCAAAAGTACAGTCACACAACTAAAGGTATACTCACATGTCATTTTGGGTAGAATGATCTTTTCCACGATAGACGGCAAAATTCTCACATCATCATCTCCCCGATCCATCTCATCACCTTCTTTTGAGCCCATGAATAGGAGAATGGTAAACCAGCTCATGTCCTCAAAGTCCACACAGTTTTCCTGATTGTCAAAGAAAAAGAAAGAAAAAAAAAGGTTTGTAGTCTTCAGCGAATAGCAACCACTGTGTGCATGACGTACTCACAGCCAAGTCCACAGTCAGAAGATTCTCCTCAGGCACCTTGTGTGCACAGTCTACTTTCCTTCCTTACAATTACAAGGAATTACAACTAATACATTTCATTTCTACGTGTGCCATCGTGGTGAAATCAGGCGCACGTCAATTAGAATGAAATCCAAGAAAACATCATTTTGTTGGACAAGTTTTAGCATTTTTTTTTGTCTGGGCTCAATACATTTTATACTCATTTAATTTTTAAACATCTTCCTGAGTAGCTCTTATTGAAAAACGCTAATCAAAGCACAAAAATGTAACATTGCAGTTTCAAAGGACACCCACACTTTGGAAGTCACTCAGCTCTGGCAGCCATTTTCTCACTACTTTTAGTAAACCCTCACCTTTCACCAAAATGTCTCACAGTTCCAATAGAGCTACCATCACTGTACACACATAGAGCTACCATCACTATACACACATAGAGCTACCACATAGAGCTACCATCACTGTACACACATAGTAGAGCTACCATCACTGTACACACATAGTAGAGCTACCATCACTGTACACACATAGTAGAGCTACCATCACTGTACACACATAGAGCTACCATCACTGTACACACATAGTAGAGCTACCATCACTGTACACACATAGTAGAGCTACCATCACTGTACACACACAGTAGAGCTACCATCACTGTACACACACATTAGAGCTACCATCACTGTACACACACAGTAGAGCTACCATCACTGTACACACATAGTAGAGCTACCATCACTGAACCACAGAGACCACACACAGTAGAGCTACCATCACTGACACTACCATCACTTCACCACAGACACACAGAGACGACACATGCAAGTTTCACGGCACTAACAACTCACAGCAAAAGGATTCCAGGCCAGCAGCTCTTTCCTCACAAAGGGATTCAGCAGCTTGGGCATGCACAGACCGATGTACGCCTCTCGGTACGTGTCGCCGTAGGTAAATTTCCAGTCCTCAAACTGTTTCTTCACATGTTCGATTAGGGAGAACTCGTCGACGACATCGTCAAACATTGTGTCCCTGGATCGGACGATCTCCTCTGTTGATCAACCAATCAAAAAACGCTCAATTCACTGGCACCAAAGATACATTTCTGGTGGCCTGATAGCCCTCGTTTATCAGTTGTAATTAGAGTTATTTACTTCCTTGATATGCTCTAAAAGAAAGACATTGCCAATACCTTTGGAATCAAGGAAGGTGTAAGGATGTGTCGAACCCAATACTTGTGGAATCAAGGAAGGTGTAAGGATGTGTCGAACCCAATACTTGTGGAATCAAGGAAGGTGTAAGGATGTGTCTAGCTATTTTACAGCTGTGATAGGCTTATTTTTTATGTAGGGGATTCTTAAATTTTGAATGTAGCGCGGGTGCTAGTCAAACATTAAAAAACCCCAACCCACTGGCAAAAAGTAACAGGAAATCAGTAAAGTGCAGCACTCTCCCACTCTCTACCATAAGGGTGTAGGTTCAAATCCCATCAGGGACATTGCTGTCTCCTTGGGGAAGTCGTTTAATACACTCATTTCCTCACATTGCCCAGGCGGGAATGGGCACCCGGCAACAAACGGGGAAAGGTTGTGTCACTTTGTTCGTGTTTCATCGGCTGCTTGCACTGTATGCTTCCCGCGAAGTTGGAAAGTTGGAAAGTGTATTAGGGTGTGCTAGAAGAGTACTAGTTGTAAAGACATAAAGCATGCCCTGGGGTGGGGACATGCTCTATACTAATATATAAATGCTCTTATTATTATTATTATTTTTTATTAATCTCACTCACCCATTTCAGAATTGAACTTGAGGGCCAGAGACTGACTGCTCTCCTCATCATCGGAGGACAAGCCGTCGTGGTGGCCAACCATGTTCTTCCCTTCTCTCGCTCGTCTCCTTCTTGACCTGTGCACAAATGAAAACATAAAAGTTTTGTTAGTTTTAGTCAGGTTTTACGGCGCTTGCAACTGCACAAGGTCATATGAGCGCCAAGGGGAGGATGTCAACAGAGAAGTCCAAACGGGGAATCAGGATTACTCTGCTCACCTCTCAAGCCTCAACAAAAGAAGTCGAGGAAAAACGACGATAGTAAGGACGAGGAAAGAAAAAGCAGCAGTTTCCTTAATGTTGTTCAGGCACAGTGTGAGCATGACATTGATAAATCAGCTCATTTACAATTCTACTGTGCATAAGAACATGTTAATGTCCCCCCTTTGGGAATGGCCTAAAGACACTTGTCAGTAGTACTGCCTCGGGGGGTTACAATAGATGTTTAATTGGAAAGGAGTAAAACGCAGCTCATCGACATAGTAATGGTCATTTAAAGTACGAAAAGAATAAGACAAGCAGCCTAAACCAGCAGTTTTTGCCCAACAGGAGCGAAGACTCCAGACTTTCCACAGCCAGATGGGAGTTCAAAATGGCAAGTGTCATTGTTTTACACACATACCCCCCCCCCCCCCCCCACACACACACAATGAAGACAATTTTAGAGTTTTGTCATAGTTTTACACACACTGCAAACCCCCCCACACACACACAGAACATAGACCATTTTAGAGTAGGGCTACTTAGACATTACCAGTCGGGACCAACCCAGGCTGAGAGGGAAGACACTTGATAAAAACATCAGCCCAAATGTACAGACGGCAGGGACCATGTGCCAAACATACAGACAGCAGTGAAACATGCGCCAAACATACAGACAGCAGTGAAACATGCGCCAAACATACAGACAGCAGTGAAACATGCGCCAAACATACAGACAGCAGTGAAACATGCGCCAAACATACAGACAGCAGTGAAACATGCGCCAAACATACAGACAGCAGTGAAACATGCGCCAAACATACAGACAGCAGTGAAACATGCGCCAAACATACAGACAGCAGTGAAACATGCGCCAAATGTACAGACAGCAGTGAAACATGCGCCAAATGTACAGACGACCGTGGACCATGTGCCAAAAACCCACCTCCTGGCCTCTCTCTCTGCGGCTCTCCTCTGTCTGGCCAGCTCCTCCCCCGCCTCCACGTCCATCTTCACACTGGACGCGTCTGGGGAAAATACAGAGTGGGGAAGAAACACGACACAATTAGCTTAGTTTTAGTCTTAGTAAGATTATTACAGTACTTGCAAAATAAATAGGTCATATAAGTGCCGAAGATTAGAGGTGTTACAAGAGAATGACATACAAAGAAAGGGAGAACAGATAAGGACGATAGATGTCTTTAGTTTTTGTAAGAGTTTTACGGCACCTGCAACACAATTAGGTCATATAGGTGCAAAAGATTAGAGGTGTTACGAGAGAAGGACAATAGATGTTTGATAGGAAAGGAGGAGCAAACCACAACAGAGCACCTGCCAACCACCCACAAGACAGATGTCTTTTTTTATTTTTTTTTTGTAAAGTGTTTTACGGCGCTTGCAACTGCATAGGTCATATGAGCGCGCGGGACACACCTAATATTTTCAGTTGGTAGGAAATTTTGAATTTTGCCCGGGTGGCGGCCGAAGCCTACTCTTATCGATTTTAGACCACCAAGGGATCTTTAACGTGCGCAACTTGCACACGGGCCCTCCGAGATTTTTCGCCCTTGTCCGAGAAGGCTAGGTGTAGATCTTTCCTACCAGAAGATCAGGGGTGTGGCAGAAAGACAGCAGTAAGGAGGGGCCAAGGAGTAGCAGTAGAAAGGCTGCAGAAAGAGTCAGGAGCCCAGAGGAGGGGGCAAAGAAAGTGAGGGGGTGAAGGGGTGGGGGCAGAAAGTGGAAATGAAAGCAGACAACAGAACATTGCTAGAGAGCAGGAAAGGAGGTGAAAGGAGACAATTTTAGAGAAGAAAAATTTTTTTGTCGCTACCCGCATTCGAACCCGGGACCTTTGAATGAGAGGCCAACACCTTAACCTCTAGGCCACGAGAGCCCCCACAGATGTCTGATGGGAAAGAAGGAGCAAACCACAGCAGAGAGCCCCCTAACCATCCACTTGTCACTAGATCTAAACAATGTGCCACACACCAAATCTTTGTTTATGAGCAACATGGGAGCATGACAGGGGATTCACGACTGCGTTTCTTACGGATCTCATGCTCAGCTCTTTCAAAGCGGAAGTGAAACACCGATACTGTCAGACTCACAGCCTAAAGGCCATGGGTTCAAACCCCATCAGGGACGGGACATTGTGTGTTTGCGACAAGCACTTTTCACGAATATTTCTCCCTTCATCCAGGTGGAAAAGGGAACCCTGTTATAGACAGCCAAACATCTTGTCTGTTACAGTTGAGAACGGAACCCTGTTATAGACAGCCAAACATCTTGTCTGTTACAGTTGAGTGCTTGCAATCGGCAGCTTGCATTGTATGTTTCCCGGTAAGCCGAGAACGTTTCTGAGTGTTGTAGGGTCTGCTGGGGCAGTAATAGTTGTGAAGCGCATAGAGCTTGTCGTTGAGCGTGGATATACACAACATAAAGGCAATCTATTCCGACTGTATGACTGCCACAGACTCCAGAAAGGAGGAAGGTAGCTGGAAAAAGCTGACAATAAACAGTAGATATGCTGAGTGGGAGGGAAAGTTCAATGACAATACTGACTTGTGATGTAGCCATCTACACAACTCTCAATGCTCGTTACAATGACAATACTGACTTGTGATGTAGCCATCTACACAACTCTCAATGCTCGTTACTGTAGCCATTTACACAACTCTCAATGCTCGTTACAATGACAATACTGACTTGTGATGTAGCCATTTACACAACTCTCAATGCTCGTTACAATGACAATACTGACTTGTGATGTAGCCATTTACACAACTCTCAATGCTCGTTACAATGACAATACTGACTTGTGATGTAGCCATTTACACAACTCTCAATGCTCGTTACAATGACAATACTGACTTGTGATGTAGCCATTTACAAAACTCTCAATGCTCGTTACAATGACCAATCAAGGCTTGTCATGTAGCCATTTACAAAACTCTCAATGCTCGTTACAATGACAATACTGACTTGTGATGTAGCCATTTACAAAACTCTCAATGCTCGTTACAATGACAATACTGACTTGTGTGATGTAGCCATTTACACAACTCTCAATGCTCGTTACAATGACCAATACCGACTTGTCATGTAGTCTCGACACTGATCCTGCACGTCCTGCTGTCTCCGCTGAATGAGTCGTGATGCTCGCGACTTGAGTAAATTCTCCACACGCTGCTCCAAGTCTGTCAGAAGTGGGACCTGTTCAGCAAAAAAAAAAAAAAAATCAAATAAACACAATCAGTGAGTTGACATAATTACAAGATATATTTAAATATCAAAATAAAGCCTTGAACATCTTGTTCTCCATGGAAAAACAAGGGAAAAAGGCAGAGGTAACCCAAGAAAACTTAGTTTGCAGAACTTGAATAGATGTTGGGGAAGAAAACCCCGGATAATACCATTGTTTCCAATGAGCATCCGAGCAGAGAACTGAGTCAGAACCATGGGCGGCCATGTCTGTTCCACATCTGGCACTTGATGAAGATTTTCATACACAGAATAAAACACAGAGCCCTTCAAAAACCTCACTGGTCTTAGCACAGTACTCTTTCTGCTTATCTATCAAAGAACATTAACTGACATTATTTTAAAAAAACAACAACAACAAAAAACAACCCTCTGTAGTATGGCTTCAAAATGCCCAAGTGATGTTTGGTCAAAATTCAAATTCCAAATGTCGGTCAGGGTAAGAAAAGATAAATACTGAAGGTGTAATTGTAAAAAATAATGAAACTGTTGTTTTTTCCTCTCTCCTGAAAAATGTGGCATCCTGGGACAACAATTGATCATCTTGTCAAGGATAGTCATGTAGGTAGTAGCAACAATTGATCAGCTTGTCAAGGATAGTCATGTAGGTAGTAGCAACAATTGATCATCTTGTCAAGGATAGTCATGTAGGTAGTAGCAACAATTGATCAGCTTGTCAAGGATAGTCATGTAGGTAGTAGCAACAATTGATCAGCTTGTCAAGGATAGTCATGTAGGTAGTAGCAACAATTGATCATCTTGTCAAGGATAGTCATGTAGGTAGTAGCAACAATTGATCAGCTTGTCAAGGATAGTCATGTAGGGAGTAGCAACAATTGATCAGCTTGTCAAGGATAGTCATGTAGGTAGTAGCAACAATTGATCAGCTTGTCAAGGATTATCATGTAGGTATCATCAACAATTGACCATCTAGTCAAGGATATACAAGTATGAGGTAGCAACAATTGACCAGCCTGTCAACGATATATAATATTAAGTATCTCGATAAGTGTCAACGATATATAATATAAAGTATCTCGATAAGTGTCACGATATATAATATAAAGTATCTCGATAAGTGTCAACGATATATAATATAAAGTATCTCGATAAGCCTTTCTGCGGCTGACGCCTCACTACAGACAAACATCTCGCTACAAAATGTGACTTTTCGACTGCCCCAAATGGAAGGGTGACCCTTCTTTGTTCACAAACAAGGTTTTTCCTGAGATTTTTATTGGTCAGAGCAAATTTAAGGGAGCCCATTGGAAACTTTCTTTGCTACATTTTCAGTTTTAGTAAGAGTTTTGCGGCAATTGCAAAAGGCCGAAGTGCTTGAACCCAGATGGCCACTGGATGGGAAAAGTAAAAGTAAAGTAAAGTACGGTACATGCAGCACAATTAGGTCATAGAAGTGCAAAAGATTAGAGGAGTCACAGAACTATTCAAGAAACTTTGTCAAATTCACAAAGTGATCTGCCTGATGGTTAATCATGACATCGGTGCTGGTGCGCTGAGTTTTTCTTATTGAAGTAAAAAACCAAACTCAAACCTACAAGAAACACTAAAGGCTGGTGTGGCCAAGCTATGATCCACAAGCTGATTCAGTCCAGCCCGCGAGTAAGCGAAGTAATTAATAATGAATGTGGCTCCAGCAAAGTAATTAATAATGAATGTGGCCTGCCGTGAGTTGGGGAATAAATCAAATTTGTAAAAACTGTGGTGAAAAATTCAAGCCAATATTGTCCCCCCCAGTGGGAAGTAACGGCACAAACATTTGATCTCATGACATGCCCTGAAGGGACAAACATTTGATCTCATGACATGCCCTGAAGGGACAAACATTCTATCTCATGACATGCCCTGAAGGGACAAACATTTGATCTCATGACATGCCCTGAAGGGACAAACATTTGATCTCATGACATGCCCTGAAGGGACAAACATTTGATCTCATGACATACCCTTCAGGGACAAACATTCTATCTCATGACATGCCCTGAAGGGACAAACACTTTATCTCATGACATGCCCTGAAGGGACAAACATTTGATCTCATGACATGCCCTGAAGGGACAAACATTTGATCTCATGACATACCCTGAAGGGACAAACGCTGCAGTGTCAGTTTTAGTCTCACTTTTGAGAGCTTGGGTATTTCAACCAATGTCGCCCAATGCAAATAGCACCATTTATTTCCCAGGCCAACTTGGGCAATGTCCAACACATAAAGTCAAAGATCAAAGCTACCAACTTTTCCAAACAAAACAATATTTATTTTTTCTTTAAAAGGACTCTACATATGGGATGGGTCAAGATAGTGGGCACTGGCATTGTGGTAACGGGCTCAAATACAATTGATGTATCAGCTTTTCCCCATTCAACCAATGTCGCCCAATGCAAATAGCACCATTTATTTCCCAGGCCAACTTGGGCAATGTCCAACACATAAAGTCAAAGATCAAAGCTACCAACTTTTCCAAACAAAACAATATTTATTTTTTCTTTAAAAGGACTCTACATATGGGATGGGTCAAGATAGTGGGCACTGGCATTGTGGTAACGGGCTCAAATACAATTGATGTATCAGCTTTTCCCCAATACTATTTGCAAATCCTGTCTTGAAAGTTCCTAGTTTTTATTGAGCATCGGCAAGTCATGAGGAGCAGCACTAGTAACCAGAGAATACTCTTTTCCAACAACGAAAACCGACTTCCTTACTCAGATCTTCAAAAACATACGACAAACTTTTAAAACCTATAGGGTAGCAGTTCTGCTATTTCATGCACTGTTTGTGTACAGGTTGGAAGCTATTAAAGGTTAAAACAGCACCTGGACATGGATGGCTGGTGCCTCTATAAATAAATCATTGATGGTTTGGTTGGAAGCTATTCTATTGAGTACATTTTTTTACGGGCAGCTGTGCTACAAAATAGGTTGTTTCCAGGCAGGTTGGCAGCTGTGCTATTAACACTTTGTTGTATTAACACTTTGTTGTATTAACACTTTGTTGTATTAACACTTTGTTGTATTAACACTTTGTTGTATTAACACTTTGTTGTCACATCTCGCCCATCGACAACAACGCCAAAGTTCCGCTCACCCCCCGGGGCTGTGCTACTAATTGAAGTGTGTTTAGGCCATTCCCAAAGGGGGGGGGGGGGACACATTAACATCTGGAGTTCTTATAAACAGTACAATTGTAACTGTAAATGGGCTGATTCGTCAATGTCTTGCTCATAACTGCGCCTGAACTGCAGCCTTTTCTTTCCTTATCCTTACTATTGTCATTTTTCCTCTAATTCTTTGGTATATTTGTCACATTCTTGTGACCCGCTATTTCCGGGGAGCCTTGATAGTCGAAGCAGACTTTGTGCTGTTGAAGCTAGACAGGTAGCAGAGTAATTCCGATCTTTGTAAGGACTTCTCTGTTGACATCCACTCCTTGGCGCTCATATGACCTAATGCAGTTGCAAGTGCCGTATTGCCTCCACTAGAACAAAACAAAATTTCTGTTCCCATCACAGAACGCTGGTCAGCGATGTATACCACCCAGTTTTGGGGGATTTCCCCCAAATGTTTGTGATTGTTTTTCCTATGTGAGCCTTGTAACGGCAAAGAGTGAAATCCGTTGTTTACACACAGGTCGGCAGCTATGCTCAAGCATATTGTTGCTGGATTGGCTCTCTTTAAGGGCCCCCTTAAACTGCAGCTCCAAAAATCCCAGCTTGAGATAAGTGAAAGCAAGTGATGCGACAGGAAGACTGCTACAGTACACACGGCGTGTACACATTTAAAAAAAAACAACAATAACAGAGGGGGGAAAATGGCGATCTCAATGAGATCTTTCTCAAAATTCCAACACTTAATTCTTCTAGTCAAAAAAAAGGAGCGACAACAACTAAAGAGGAGAGAGAAAAGAAGGGACATACCTTCTCATTGAGGCATTCTATCAAGTCCCGAACATACCCCCTCAATTCTTGGAAAAACTGAAATCGATCTTCTAACTGTGGCGCACTCTGCTGGCAATTCTCAATGCTGTCTCTAGTGTCAGCAGAGTCTGAGAGCGTTCTCTCAAGCTCTAATTTGTGAGTTCTGTACACCGTGTCCATGATGGAAAGGCTGAAAGGGAAGACCACAGGCATGAGCACAAAGTCTGCACAACTGAAAATATGTGCGTGGGAAAAGCAAACTGACTGCACTTTAGTGCACAATGTTTTGTCCCACTCTCATATTTGCAGTCTAACAGAAAAGTGATGATATTACAGTACCTGTAGAGAACAAAATAGAGACAAACTAAGAAATTTCTTCAATGAACACCCAACATTTTTTCTGTTAAGAGAGATTGCTAATAACATTTCCCATAAAATTCTGAGGAGATGGACTCTGGATCTGGTCAAGAGCTGAGCGTGACTGATTGATGGGAACTAAGCTTTGTAGTTTACTTTTAGAAAGAGTTTTTTAGCACTTGAGACTTGCAGCATACAGGTGCCGTAGATTAGATGTATGTCTACCAGAGTAACATATATACAGAAGAGGAGGAGAGATATAGATGATAGCTGCTGGGAGGAGAGATATAGAGGATAGCTGCTTGGAGGAGAGATATAGACGATAGCTGCTGGGAGGAGAGATATAGAGGATAGCTGCTGGGAGGAGAGATATAGAGGATAGCTGCTTGGAGGAGAGATATAGAGGATAGCTGCTGGGAGGAGAGATATAGACGATAGCTGCTTGGAGAGATATAGAGGATAGCTGCTTGGAGGAGAGATATAGAGGATAGCTGCTGGGAGGAGAGATATAGACGATAGCTGCTTGGAGAGATATAGAGGATAGCTGCTGGGAGGAGAGATATAGACGATAG